TATCTGACTCACTCAACCCAGCACCTGACTCACTCAACCCAGCACCTGACTCACTCAACCCACCTGACTCACTCAACCCACCTGACTCACTCAACCCACCTGACTCACTCAACCCACCCGACTCACTCAACCCACCTGACTCGACCCAATCTCTTCGAATCTACCTAATCACTTGTGGTCAAGGTCCTGTTTACCTCACTTGGTAGGTGAGAGGCAGGATTAGTTATTGATTGGTAGGTGAGAGGCAGGATTAGTTATTGATTGGTAGGTGAGAGGTAGGATTAGTTATTTATTGGTAGGTGAGAGGTAGGATTAGTTATTGATTGGTAGGTGAGAGGTAGGATTAGTTATTGATTGGTAGGTGAGAGGCAGGATTAGTTGTTGATTGGTAGGTGAGAGGCAGGATTAGTTATTGATTGGTAGGTGAGAGGTAGGATTAGTTATTGATTAGTACGTGAGAGGCAGGATTAGTTATTGATTGGTAGGTGAGAGGTAGGATTAGTTATTGATTGGTAGGTGATTGCAATTGTTTAGTAGGTGAGAGGCAGGATTGTCTATTGGTAGGGTGAGGTAGGATTTAGTTATTTATTGGTAGGTGAGAGGCAGGATTAGTTATTGATTGGTAGGTGAGAGGTAGGATTAGTTATTGATTGGTAGGTTAGAGGCAGGATTAGTTATTTATTGGTAGATGAGAGGTAGGATTAGTTATTGATTGGTAGGTGAGAGGCAGGATTAGTTACTGATTGGTAGGTGAGAGGCAGGATTAGTTATTGATTGGTAGGTGAGGCCTGAATAGACTGTTGGCTGTTCAAGTAGAGAGTTATACTAAATTATGACTTAAGTGACAGGTAAGTGGTAGATGAATCATGTTAGACAGGTAAATGAGACGTATTAGACAGGTGTGCTGACAGAGGAGATAATATATTAGACAACACAGCAGGTAGATAGGCATAATTAAAGCGTTATACAGGTAGGTGAAGCATTATAGAGGTGTCATACAGGTATATAAAGACATTGAGTGTTATGAGAGGATAAAACACATCAGGTAACCAGTTAAAAGGTAAATAAGTAGATTGAGTGATTAGTCAACCAGTTATTTAGGTAGGGTGAGTAGACAACCAGTTAGATGGGTTGAGTGGAAGGACTTTTCTATTTCTCCTGTCACCACTTAGTCACAGTTAGTCTTGTGACTGGGTCAGTTTTGGTCTAGTTGCTTTGGTTTCGTGTGATTATTTGGAGTTCAGAAATAGATGACTTTCTTTTTTTTTTTTTTACTCTCTCTCTCTCTCTCTCGTGTAGGGTTTAGGGTTCAGACTGAGGGTCAGGTCAGGTGGTGGTGTAGGCCTAAGAAAACAGGTTCCTCGGGGTAGGAGGAGGGCGTCGGCGGGGTCCACGACAGGTGTGTTAGGCCTCACCTCCTCACACCTGGTGGCCGAGGAATGTATTGAATAGTGAAGTAGGGTTATTTTTTTGCTGTTTGTTATCATTATTATTTAATTATTATTTTTATTATTATTGCTCCTGTTAGTGTTATTACTGTTGTTATGATTGTTATTAATATTGTTTTGGGTATTATTTTTGTTTGTTATTATTATTATTTTTTCTTAATATTGCTTTTTTTCTATTATCATCATCGTCTTATTATTTATATTTATATTCATTAAGATAATCTAACCTAACCCTCACTACACCTCCCAAGAGTTATCACCATAATGAGCTGGGAGCCAAGTCACGTCCCAGCGATAACCATATGTCTTCAACACGTCACAGGAGGTTTATAGCTCTCTAGGGACTCATAATGATGCCCTACATATATTAACAACGCCGTGACGTCAGCCGAGTTATCCCCCCTGATAAAGATATGGTCGAGTCTGGGCGCGTTTTTTAGGCCATGTCAGTGACCATATTTGTGTTTGTAGGGTAGTTAAGTGAGACAGTTCGTACGTCATCACTTATGGGGGAAAAATAGAGATGACCTGTAAATATTAATGGAATTGAATGTTTTTTTTTTAATGTGGCATTTTGACGTGAAGAAGTGGGCGATTTTTCTGTAGTATTGGTCCTTATTCATAAAGTTTCGTACGGTAAATAATCCTCGGAAATGAAGATATAAGAAATAATACCACTAGTTGATTTTTTATTTATTTTTTTTTAAGTTTCAACGCAAAAAATAACATGTTAAAATATACCAGCAAAATTATACAAAGACACCAACCATGACGTTCACTCACTCACCACCTGTTGGGAGACAAGATGATGATGACGATGATTATACTACAGTCTTTGACATAAAACAAATCTGTACCTTAATTATATACCTCATGATAATTCAACGTATTTAGTTAAGGTAAGAGTCTTTAGGGTAATTAGGATGCTAATTCCGATGGTTGATTTTGTGTTTTATATTAATGTGAAGCAGTTAAGTATAGAGTTTTACAGGACGACTCTCTGTGTGTGTGAACCTTGGTAATGAATGGGTTGGTTGTGAGGGCTGTATATGGCCACCCTGGGAGCATTACACCTGAGCCCGGATGCTGAAAGAGATGCGAGTTTTTGTGAGATTTCTTGAATTGTAAATGGTAGATAATAATTGTTTAACTTTAGAGGTCATGTCAGGGGTCAGAGTTGGCGGGATGTTATGAGTTTTAGGCCCATACATGCATACTTCATACATACATACATACATACACAGGATAAGATAGTGTCACAGAGATAGTGTGTGTAGTATGACCTAAAGTACACAAACATGACCTTTTTAACTATCTCACCCGTAGTGAAGGGTGTGTGACCTTGAATTATCTCCACCATGGCCAGGATTCTCATACATTCCCTTCCCCCTCCCCCCTCCCGTTAAATATGACCTCTGACCTGACTCACTTGAAATCCGTACAGGTGAGAGATAGTTCATAATGGCGACTAAATTACCCCGAGACTTTTGTCGTAAGGAGATGATTTTTTTTTTTCATCTCCCAGTTAAGAGAATGAGAAATAGTTTTAAGTTTTTCTTGAGAATCGAGTTTTCAAGTTATTTATCACATTTACCTTACAGAAAAAAAAATCAACTTGACCGTTTTTGAGAATCCTGATCTAAAAGTCTTAATCCCACTGCATTAGAGAGAAAACAAAACACACAAATTTAAGACTTTTTAAAAACAAGATCTAGAAGTCTTTATCCAATTAACGAAAGAGAAAAATTAATTAAGGCACTTTTTTTTTTTTTAGAATTCAGTGTCTAGAATCCCTTATCCGTAGTGTTGGAAAGACCGGTTTTTCTCGACTGTTTCATCCAGGTGTTCCTTAACGATGTCGTCTGGCGGTGGGGCATAGGTCCGGTTTATAGGTCCTCTCTTGTGCCACCCGACAACACGCACGCTTATGGTGAGTCCCCCAGGTGAATAGCTGAGGTTGGCCTGCCTTTGAATGGGTTTGGTCTGGTTGTGGTAGGTTAGGTTAGGTATAGGTAGGTTAGGTAAGCTTAAGACATGTTAAGGTAGGATAGGTTAGGTTAAGGCAGGATATCTTAAAGTAGGTTAGCTTAGGGCAGGTGAGCTAACAGTATACGTTTGATTAGCCTAATTTAGGTTGGTTATCGTAGATTTGCTTAGCTTAGTGTAGGTTAGCTTAGACCTGGTGAGATAGAATCGGGAATTTAAATTAGGTTAAAATAGATAGTTAAGTTAGGTTAAAGAAGGTAGTTAAGGTTATTGTTAAAATCGACTCGTAATGGTAGTAAGTTTGTGTTGAGGGTCGAAGCCAACATGTTGTGTACAAGCGCATGGCAACGGGAAATAGTCTGCCAGAGGTTGAGAAGTCATACTGATAACTTATCTACAGTATATGAAGCCCTAACAAAAGATCTGTCTGTCTGCCTTTCCTTGTCTAGCTACCTAGGTGATGAATAAAAATTGGATGATCTTTTTTATAGTCTTTTTAATAATATTTTTAATTTTTTTTGGTTGGTGTGTGTAGCCGTGTTCGTCTATCATGTTAACGCTGTGTTATGATGCACTGTATAGGGATATCAGTAGGATTTGTATAAGGGATAAGTTGTGAATAGCCTCGTAACGGGACACACGCCGGGGTTATGAATAGGTCCGGGATCTGGTGCTCGCCTGACACGCTGAAGATATTTTCCTGGAAGATTAAATTTCCTGGTAATTTTTAATTGCGTTTGTCAGTTTTCTTCCTTTTCTGACATAGCTGATAATGTCTTCTCAATATCCATTTCAGGGATTTTTGTTTGTTCATCTCCCTAAGTGTTTGTTAACGTAGTGTGTGTTAGAGAGAACTTATAAAATACAAATGGAAAGGATTTTGTCATCGGCCGAATAGTAACAATATAAAAAAAAACCCAATTAACAGTTGAATATATGATCATTATTAGTAGTGGTAGTGGTGGTAGTTATTGTTATTACTATTATTATTTTGTAGTAGCAATTATTATTATTATTATTATTATTATTATTATTATTATATTAGTAAGATCCCAACCAGGTGAGTTCACGAGCTACCACCTGCGACTGTATCCTTGTTCCAGCTTCTAATGAGGAGGATAATGTTATCTATAGGTTATAATCACACGCGAGGAGGGATAACCTGTTGTTGTTATCTTGATGTTATTTTATGTTAGCCTTGTGGGGGGCGGTGGGTTGGGTTATTAATTTTCTGTTAATGGCGTGTTAACTTGGTGGTGTTATCCCTTTTTTTTATCTATTTGTTTGCCTGGTGTTATGGTACGTGTGATATCTGTGTTATGATAGGTTTGTTATCTTGTGTTATTTTCTATTGTTATTTTGTGTCATGTAAGTTATCATTTCCCTTACCTGTTATCTTTATAGTTATCATCCTTACGTCTTGTTATCTTTATAGTTACATTCCTTACGTGTTATCTTTATTATATACATACGTGCTTTATTGTTATCTTTCTTCCTTCCATGTTATCTTTACTGTTATATGTGTGTTATTACGGTACATTATAAAGAACGTGTTTTTTTTCCCAGGGTTCAGATCCGCGACTACAGACATGCCGCGGGAAGCTTCAGAACCGCCGCTCGAAGCTCAACCAAGAAATCAACAAAGAGCTCATGCTAAGGACGGGAGCTGAGAATCTTTACAAGTAAGTCCTGTAGTAGATTGGGCCTAACACTTAGAACCTTTTATAAGTGGGTGTGTGGTGAGTGTGTTTATAAGTCTGTCATTATTGTACCTTGTTCCGGCACTTAGATTTTTTTATTTATTTTTTGTTGTAAGTGTGATGATTTTATACTGTAGGTGTGTTATAGTTTGACGTCAAGAACGTTTATAAGTAATTACTGTAGTATCTTTTCGTTATGGCACTTAGAACGTTTATAAGTGTGTCGTTTTGTGGTTTAACGCCAAGAACCTTTACAGTATAAGTAAGCCCTGTAGTATCTTATAAGTATGTGATGAGAATATTTTAAGTAGTTCCAGTATTATCTTGTCCTATTACTTAAATGATTTGTAAGTGTGTGCTCTTGTGTTTGACGGTGAGAGCCACTAGACGTATCATTGGCGTGTGAGCGTGTCGTGTTTGAGCGGGTGAGTGTGTCGTGTTTGAGCAGGCGAGTGTGTCGTGTTTGAGCGGGTGAGTGTGTCGTGTTTGAGCGGGTGAGTGTGTCGTGTTTGAGCGGGTGAGTGTGTCGTGTTTGAGCGGGTGAGTGTGTCGTGTTTGAGCGGGTGAGTGTGTCGTGTTTGAGCGGGTGAGTGTGTCGTGTTTGAGCGGGTGAGTGTGTCGTGTTTGTGCGAGGGAGTGTGTCGTGTTTGAGCAGGCGAGTGTGTCGTGTTTGTGCGAGGGAGTGTGTCGTGTTTGAGCAGGCGATTGTGTCGCGTTTGTGCGAGGGAGTGTGTCGTGCTTGAGCAGGCGAGTGTGTCGTGTTTGTGGTTTTCCCGCTGACATTCTTTTGTGAACTTCTAGAACAGTTTTGTGAGTGAGAGCGGTCATGTGAGGTGAGATACAACTATATGTCTTACTCTCCCTTCATCCCTTCCTGCCCCACCTCTCCACCTTCCCTCCTCACCCCCTCCTCCTCCCCACCTTCCCTCCTCCCACCTTCCCCTCCCTCCCCACCTTCCCCTTTTCCCCACCTTTCCTCTTCCCCACCTTTCCCTCACCTTCCTTCCCTCCTCCCCACCTTCCCTCCTCCCACCCTTCCCTCCTCCCCACCTTCCCTCCTCCCCACCTTCCCTCCTCCCCATCCCCCACCTTCCCTCCCTCCCCACCTCCCTCCTCCCCACCTTCCCCTCCTCCCCACCTTCCCCCTCCTCCCCACCTTCCCTCCTCCCCACCTTCTCCCTCCTCCCCACCTTTCCTCCTCCCCACTCTTCCTTTCCCTCCCCACCTCCTCACCCTCCTCCCCACCTTTCCCTTCTCACACCTCTCCCTTCTCTCCCTCCTCCCCTCCTTTCTCTTCTCAATCCTCTCCCCCCTCTCTGCTGTCACCCATAGGTTTTGTAAGGACGTTGACACTTGAGAAGCATTTAAATAAGTGCGAATGTATTGCGTATTTGTAGTGATGGTGTGTGTGTGTGTGTGTGTGTGTGTGTGTGGTGGTGTTGTAGTGATGGTGGTGTTGTTGGTTTCGGTGTTGGTGGTATCGGTGTTGTTGGTGTTATGTTAAGTAGTTGTACTAATGGTGGTAAACATATTTGTCAACATAGACCTCGTTGTAGGGGATAGGGGGTGGGGGGGTCAGGGTGGGTCGATGGGACAGATGGTGCGACAGGTGGGTTAAGGTGAACCAGTTCCTTTCCTTGGGTGGTTGACACTGTTGCTAAGTCGTCGGCTGGCTGGCTAGCTAGCATGGGCCGCTATCACCATGAGCCTGAGAGAGTGGGTCCGAATCCTCCCCGAAACCTTGAGCTCTGTTTGTATGAGTTGGTTATTGGCTGGATGGTAACTGGTCTGTTCGGTGTGAAAGTTAGGACCTGACTTTACTGACCAGGTAGTTCAAGGGAGTGTAAGTGCTCGAGACCATAGACCTTCGAGACCAAGGTGTTGAAGGGAGAGTTTACGGGAGCCCATCGACCCAGACCAGGCACCTGAGCACATCATGTGTAGTACACGTGTTCCTTCCCCTCACCACAGTCACTTGTGTTCTATGTCTACTTCATACCCCAGACACAAACACAGTCGGGGACAAAAGTTCGCCCCCCGTGCTGAAACTGAGCCACGGAAATGAGTCTCCGGACTGACTTACCCTGACTGTTTCATCTTACTTGGGGTCGATGCTGCTTCATTTTGGGCAGGTGCGAAATTTGGACCCCGACTGTACAGTATTCCGGCATAAGACAAAGTGTATTGTTTTTAAGGTCTTGCCAGCCTTCTGCTACAGTATGTTGCAGTGTGGCCGGCGGGCATGTGTTGATCCGCTGGTTTTTAACATTCAGTAGCTATAGTGGATTTCCCCAACCCTTTGGCATGATGCTGGCCCACCAAGAGGTTGTTCCTCTATTGACAGGTATACCCGATAGTGTACTTGTTTACTGCTGTGTGTGAAACTATTATACAAGAGGAAACCAAACTCTAATTCCGGATGGGATCAGAATAAAGTTTTCCAGAACGAAAGATGCAAATGGGAACGGACGTGTAGATCTTAGTCTACACTTCATGAGGCAATTGTGACACCTGACGCAAGTTTCTTATAAAACTGGGTCATCTGTAAAGTCTTGCAGTTATTCGTTTATGCTCTCTTGTGTCATAAAAGCTTCTGAACATAAAGTATATCAGGTTTAAGTTAACTTTGTAATTATCCAAGATGAAACATGTAATTACCAGGAAAGTTGTTTTATTAGTTCATTGACACATGAAGAAAGTGAATATTCAACTGTTGCGGGTCAATTGTATCTTCATTCTAACAATATATTAATTATTTAAATGAAACACTGATATATTATAAACTGTGCTCCAGTAAAACAACAACACACACAGAGCTGTTTAGGACGAGTCTTTTGATATATTTGGTGACGGTGATAAACGACGGTGAATCAGTTTAACGGGGAAGTTGACGAATGTTGATGACGATATACCAGTTTAACCTCAGAGTCTTGCTTGGACTGTCACCGGTATAAAAGCAACGTCGTGTCCCCTGAAGTAAACATGATGTGGGCGGTTTTTTTTTTTTTTTTTGTAGAGATACAACCTTGTGAATCATAGATTTCAAGTTCATCTTTCATCTGGTTCAGTTTGGAGCGAAGACTATTTCTCAGATATGTTCGTCATGTCATCTTTGATATAGAGATGTGCTAAAATGAGAGCCCAGAGACGGCCAACAGGTGAACAAGTAGCATGAGAAGTGGAACATGTTGACATTTGGCTCTTGAGTGTGATGGTCCCGTCTTCCAGAGGCTACACCTAGCATCAACTTTCCCTGGCCGAGGCGGGACTGAACAGTTAGGTTAAACTGACCCAAGATATGTAGGTTTACCTGCGCGTCCCTCTCTGCTACGTTGCCACATCTCCCCCCTCCATTGCCACCACTGGTGCCGCCTCTACATCTCACATTCCATCAATATTTGCCCGGTGAATAGTAATGTATTGATTAAAACGCTTTCTGTTTACCTGCACTGAATATCTTTCCTTTTTTACCTAACTGTACATTCAAGAAACGTTTCTTATGGTTGATTTAAGTATTTACATTGAATTTCAGTATGTACTGTATTTAGCGGGTATCAGTATTCGCATCACTACTGGAAAACGACCGATGTTTAGCTCATGTTTAGGCTGGACGGAGGGGCGTGGCGTGTCGTGTTACCTGGAATGATCGGGTCTAGATGAACCATGGCTGCCAGGTAGGTGAAGTCCCCGGGGGCAGATACCGTATTGTGCACACATTACTGCCGAGGGCGGGGTCTTGTGAGGAGGGGTAGGGATGATGGTGCTTGGTTGTGGTGGGGCGGGGTGCTTCAAGGCCAGACACTGCGGCCTCACCACACCTACCTGCCCCGAGACCTACACCACTGCCCCCTCCTCCCGCCCCGCCCGGCTTCATTGGTTAGACACCACCTTTTTTGTGGGTTTTGTTTGTTTACCACCAAATTAGGTATATTTCTCTATTAATCATGTTATCATAACTATCCGTACACAAGGTGGTGCCATCATCACCCCTATACACTAGGTGGTGGCATCATTACCCCTTTACACTAGGTGGTGGCATCATCACTACTGTACACTAAGTGGTGGTACCATGACCTCCCGTAAACTAGGTGGTGGCATCATCACTCCCATGGAGGTATTTATATCTGCATGATCACCCCTATACACCAGGTGGTAGCATCATCACCCCCATACTCCAGGTGGTGGCATCACACGGTGGTCTTGACACAGTTCCCCAGTGAGGCTGTGTGCGCTGTGTATGAGGGTGGCTGGGGGCGTCCGGGTTTCGTCATTGTATACATAATAATACTGAAAATGCGGAGTGACTCTGCCCTCATCCCTTCTGTGTTGTGGCCCGCAGACACAGTAGGTACATGGTGTCGTGATCTCAAGACATGTACAGTAGATCAGCTTTTTTCTGTATTGTAATCTTAAGACACAACACATAACACGAAGAGTACTTTACTTTGACCTTGTTTCGTATCGATGTATGTTGTGTGTGTTTGTTATTTGTTTTTGTGTGAATATGAAAATGCTTACGAGCGCAACAACACAACACAACAGCGCAACACACACACACACACACACACACACACACACACACACATACATACATACAAACAAGTTTTTACCAATCTGAAGGTCTGCCGGTTGCTACGTGATATTGGACCGAGTTTATCTAGAAGTCAGCCTTCTGGTCACCTGGGGGAAGTTAGTGCCAAGCCACACTAAATTGGCGATTCATTTGTTTACGTGTCGTGTTGTTTATTGGAATGTTGTTTTGTTTGTTTGTTGTTTGAGTAAGTTTAAATTCATGTGTTTATCCATAAATACATAGACGTTTAGTAAGGAATATACTATGTATTTTAGAAAGTATAGAAATTAATGTATATACCAAGAATAACATAGATATATAATATAGAGTATAACTACGGTACATTAACGAGGATATATGTACAGGAAGATAATAAATTTTTAAGATTATATAACAAATGAAAGAACTT